TCGAGCGCAATGCCCGCTGAAACTTACATCTAGCTCGAGTCTTTCTAATCGCAAACTAAAAAATAACTTATAAAGGTGAGATAATAATATAAATCGCAACAGCTGACCTCAATGCACGTGGACGGTCATCGATCGTAGTGATCGTTGTCCGTTCGCACGTGCGTGCTCGAGCAATACCTACATAAACGTTCGTTTCGGAACCTATTCGCGACCTATCCGCGACCGCGACCGCGATACTAAATTCGAAAAATCGAAGAGTAAAACCAGAAACAAGTGGCATGCTCCACTGTACCAATTTCACTGTCGATTTTTCAAATTAGATTTCCTGAAACAGGTTGGACACGCGAAAAGGGGACACGCGACCAGAGACTGTGCCAACCTGCCCGGCCCTACCTACTTATAATTAAACACAGGCACTCCAGAAAGTAAGCTACCTATCCTAATCAGTCGCCCTATATTTAAAAAATGGCAAAACAGGCACACCAACACACTCACACCACGATTCTCACACATACCACTCGGGCGCAGACCTAAACTAGAGAGGACGTCCCGGGACGCCTCCGACACCCGAGCTTACACACAACTTTCACACTCTAATTTACGTACCATTATCCTGAAATCGACTGACAATGGCTAGCGATCATTGCGTAAAACTTGATTAAAATACGTTTATGTTTATCTCACAAATATATGTGAGATATTAATAACTGAGCAATGATACATATAATTTCTATACAAATTACATGTGCAAGTTGACTTGGGGTCATTATAATTGATTATAATTGATAGAATCATAACAATAATGTAATTATAATGTATTTATTAGGCATTATAATAATGCCTTAAAGAATTCATAACTCTTTAAATTAGAGCATAAATATTTTAAGTATTACAATTTATAATGAATGGAACAATAGAAACGACGCAATTCCACATCCTAACCACACACACATATGCGTAAAATACGTCGTGCACGATACGCTAACACACTGCCAGTCGCTGAGAAATTTTTTATAAAATTACAAACTATGGTCATCGTGCCCAATGTCTTTCACTCACCCAAGTAGCACCTGGGCACGTGAGTGAGATCCTGACAATGAACACGGAAGGGGTTAAACCTGAAAATCCTGAACTAGAAAAATGATTGCTTTATGTAATTTGTATCTAACGAACTATTGCGTTATTTTATTTCAAATTGTAATAACTCTACTATTTCAGAAATTTTAGAAATTGCAAGAGAATAAAGACAAAGAATTGAATTTATTAAAAGAGGTATGATATCTAACAATTGATTCAAACAATCAAAATCAAACAATTGACTCCAAATTAAATATTAATAGAAACAATCTCAGACGATTTTTTCATCAAAGCACATTTTCGAAAATGCGAAAGTGTTCAAACTAGTTGCCTTGACTCAAAAATTTGTCTGTCGGGAAGTATCTTCTTGCACATAAAATTTCATACATTTTTTTGCGGAAAAAATTTTTATCTATTATATTTCAAATTCCACTGAAGTTCATAATTATAAAACTCAATTGATTGAATCATTTAATAGTATTATAAAAGGAAAGATGAAATTAAAAGTTATTAATTATTCTAATAAAATATGTCAGCAGTATCAATAATAATTGCATCTTTCATAGCTACGAAGTCGGAGGACATCCGTCTTCTCTGCTATGAAATGCTTAAATGAAGTCGTTTTAATAATAATTATTTATAAATATTTATAATTTATCTATTCATATAGATATTTTGCAAACATTTATATCGAAGATATTTTGATTTTATAAGCAATTACAATAAATGTATATATCCTAATTGTTAAAATCGCAATGTGCAAGAAGCCCTATCCTGATCTAATACATAAAAAGATCTGAAAAAATGTTACTACTCACGGGTATAAAATATACCCGCGGTCACTATGCTCATCAAAAATTCTACGTATACAACCAATCACCCGTGCAGATTTGGACCTTTTGTCCTACGGCATGATTGAGTGATCGGAGGAACATAAATGCATGCGACTCACGGGATAGATGTAAAGAATGTTATTCCTGATGCTGTACTGGAGCAGGGAAAGTTATCGTGAAAACACTCATCAAGTAGATGCCACTGGGAATCCCATGGTAAACGTGAACGCCGTGAAACATTTCTTAAAAAAACATAAACATTTTGTTTTTATAAGCACAATGTTATTTGTGAAAATTTAAATTTCAATAATAATAAGAATTGGGACTAATAATTTGAGGTGCTTTTATTTTATAATTACAATTTTATATAGTTCAATTTCAACAGAGAAAGAATTATAAAAAATAGAGTTTAAATACAACATCCTAAAGTACTTACATTTTTTTAGCTTTTGAAGCATCATAAGATTGTTGAAGAATTAGGGGAAGTGGATACTGTAGAAGATCTATAAGAAAACATTAAACAACAGAATTTATATTTTAAAAGCAAAGTAAAATTTTAAGTTGAAGATAATGAAAGATTCTTACATTCTTGGCTTTAGAGCCACTGTTGGATTTTCCCCCCAAAATACAAGAAGTTAATGCTGATGTGAAGTGTCTGTAACAAAACATCAAACATTACACTTTCTAGTTAAATTTGAAAAATTGAATAAATTGAGATACAATACAATATAAAACTACTTACAATCTTAATTTCCTGGAGAGGCCTTATCCTCTTGAGCACTGACTCTAATACCGAAAACGAGTTTTGAACAAGAAGAAATATAAAAAAGGAAAGACTACCAACGTTCGCGTTTAACAGTCGGCGAACTCACTGACTCTAACTTCGCGAATTATAATTTGAATGAATTAATTATTTAATATAACGAGAGCCATTTTGCTCAGAAAAATATTAAAATATTGCGCAACAAACACTGACTCTACTGACTGCATTGCGCGCAGTCGCAAAAATTTTCTGAAAATAAGGCTGATGACCTAAAACAAATACACAAAATTCATGAAAAATTCTTTAAAAGGAACACAATTGATGAAAAATTGTCAATATTTTAAACTGAGACATGAGAAATTTTATTGTATTACGCAAAAGATTTATTATTTTAGCCATTAAATACGTACATCTTTAATAAATTATTGTTGAATTTAGTATTGAAATCGTTAAGAATTATGCAGTACGAGTTTAAAGAATCAACAAATGAATAGAAATTGTTACAATAGAAGTAAAAGCATATTATGTATATATATAATAAAAAGGTAGTCATATTACAAGGTCACAATGTTTATTATGATTAGAATTGAAATTAAATTTTGGTATAAAATTATAAATAACTTTAAGCATAGTATGTTCTGTTTAAATGTTTGTGTGCTATTATTTCTTTAATTGTTGAAAATTATATGTAATAATTAGGTTAAATGTTACCTTGAGTTGAAGCCCAAAAGTGCATGTTTCATCTTAAAAATACACAACACAAACACAAATCTAAATTTTTACCTGAAAATTTCTGAATGACACTTTTTTCTATATGACTTTTCTGGATAACAGAAAATTTCTTCTTTAGAAACGAGGTGTGCTACCTTCCGCCATTCTTCCAGTTTAAAAATCGATCGTGAGAAATATCGATATATTCGAGAATCGTAGAAAGTATATTGCATATTTCACCGTTGTGGCGCTATAATCGCATATTTCGAGAAATGCCAACTGGGGAAAAAAAAAAAAATAATAAATTCTAGTCTAAATCAAATACACAAAATTCATGAGAAATTCTTAAAGAAAAATGAAAATATTCATACACAAGGTGAAAAGTTATCAATATTTAAAACTGAGAGATGAGAAATTTTATTATATCATGTAGTAAAATTGTTATTTAGACCACTAAATACGTACATCCTTAATAAATAATTGTTAAATTTAGTATTAGAATTACGCAATATGAGGTTAAACAATCAACAAATGAGTAGAAAATATTACAATAAAAGTGAAAGTATATTATGAATATATAATAAAAAATTAGTCATATTTCAATGTCAGAATATTTGTATTGGTTAGAATTAAAATTACATTTTGATATAAAATTATAAATAACTTTTAGCACAGTATGTTCTATTTAAATATTTATATGCTATTATTTCTCCAATTGTTAAAAATTACATGTAACGATCATTTGGTTAAATCTTACCTTGAGTTGAAGCTAAAAATGCACGTTTTATCTTAAAAAAAATATACAACACAAACACAAATCTAGTAACTATTGATTTAAATTTTTACCTGAGAATTTCTGAATGACACTTCTTTCTGAATGACTTTTCTGGATAACACTTTCTTCTTTAGAAACGAGATGTGCTACCTTCCGCCATTCTTCCCGTTAAAAAATCGATCGTGAGAAATATCGATATGTTCGAGAATCGTAGAAAGTGTATTCTGTATCTCACCGTTGGCGCTGTAATCTTTAACTAATTTAAATTCAATACGCGCGCATTTCGCACGAAATATTAACTTGGAATAAAAAATAAAACTCTGATTTAAATCAAATACCCAAAATTCACGAGAAATTCTTAAAAAAGAATGAAAATATTCATACACTAGATAAAAAATTATCGATAATAAATTTCGTGAAAATAAATTCATATAATTCAAATAATAGAACAATCAACTTGATTTTAAAAAGTGAAGTTTCCACTTTAACAATCTTGAATTTGTTTTTTTTTTTCAAAGATATTTATTTTTACATCATGCAGCAAGTGTAAAAGTAAGAATACTTTTCCTTGTGAAAATTGTAAAAATTCAAACATCTCGCCGAGGAGAAAATTTTTTATCACTGAACAATTTTTTTTCATTTAGATCAATCATGATCTTTACAGTGAGCCTTTAAAACTAGCTTACAATAATTCATTAATTTTTAACGAATTATAACAAGAAATGACCTCATATGTAAATCACTTTGTCTTAACAAATCATTTATCTCATTTATAGAAATGAATTTGTTTAAAAAATGAATGATCTTTTACCATACCGGTATTTCAGAACGTGTAATACGAAATCACACAAGATGTCATACCAGGTCTATTCTGTTCCTTGTTTGAGATAGTGACAGAAGAGTATGACAATTCACAATTTATACATATTTTCCAAAAATGGAACATTATTGTACTATGCGGAATGGAACAGGTTGAACAAATCTGGAATGACGAAAGGAGAAGTATGTATAAGTAGTTGTATTGAAACTTTTATTTTAAAATTAGAAAATATATGTAATTCCTAACCTTGGTTGTACATTTATTATTTTGAAAATTTTTTCTAAGAAATATGTTTCAAAATTGCATAAAATTTAGGAAGCAAAGTTAATGTATGGAATGTTATTTTCTATAAAATCATTTGTAAGTAAAATATCACCATTGGATCCAAAAGAAGGATTTTTGTACTATAAAACTAGTAAATATACATTACATTACTTGGAAACTCCATCTGGATTAAAATTTGTATTGAATACTGATAATGTTACACAAAATGCTAGAGAACTGTTACAACAATTATATAGAGAGGTGAGTAATTAAATGTTTTTATATTATATTATATTACAAACTTTTTTATGGGGTGCAAAAATCTTTGATACAATTACTTTTTGCAGGTATATTTAGAATATGTGGTGAAAAATCCTTTATGTCAATTAAATGAACCTATTCAAAGTGAACTGTTTAAACTAAAAGTTGATGAATTATTTAAAAAATCTCCTTTATTCTTAAGTAGATCAATATAAAGTTTAATATTGAATGTAATTTATATTTAAATATAAAAATGATTAATGATGTTATTTACTTTTTAAAATTTAATTTGATATTACATGCAATTATTTATTAAATACTAGTATTAATATGTATTAATGAAAATGCAAAAAACTAAACAAAAAAATCATAATCATAAAAATATTCTTATAATTTAAATGAATATACACTTATATTATATTTTGTTATATTTACGAATTTACATTTATCGTAAAAGAAACAATTGCTTAAACAAAATATTTTTGTAATACATAGAACTGTGATCTTCATACAAAATGTACAATAATTAACAGAATTTGAAGAAATTAACACTTGTAAAAGTATAAGTTACCTTTATAGTTTTAAGTTATTTGTATTAATATATTAAAACATGTTAAAATTGCACCGCTTTTTGTATCAACTAAATATACTTTTTTAATTTAATTTATATTTAAACTATTATTTGAAATACGTAAAAATATTGGTAAAAATGCACTTTTATAAATGTTTCTACATTAAATTTGACTTTTTAAATATATTTCGTACTATATACTAGTACTCTAGGGCGTATTTTTAAAATATGCCTTATTTAACTAAAACATCTATTGTTATTTATACATAAAGATTATATGGCAGCTTATGTCATATTTCACAATTCGGTTTTTTAGGTCCATATATCCATCTTTTTTTTTAAATTTATAAGCTTTTCATACAATTATTCTTGTCCGGACGTATGACATTAGCTTATCCAAATATTAGTAAAGTTATTAGTTACACATAAGAAACATATATTGAGATAATAATTTTACATAATTATATATACATATTTAATTCTCAAGAATTTAAAATTAAAAATTTATGAGAGGCAAAATTGTTAAAACATGATTACAATGTTCCTTATACTGATCGTTAGTGTACATAAATGTAAATACACTGGCAAGAAAATCAAAGCTTTCAACATGCCTAACAAAGCACCTGAAATAGTACGTGTTTGGGATAAATAACAAATAAATATAACCAAAGATAGTAAACTACCATACCTCTTTTTATAATGTCATTGTTTTTTTTTTTTTTTTTTTTTCTAAAATTGTATAACATTCATTGTCAAGGCATGTTCATTGCCTCCAATTGCGTCCATTATACTATGTATATTTTCATACATCAAGGGACATTTAGAAAATATTTGTGTACAAAGGTTCTTACGATACTTGTACATCTGGAAATATGACTGACAAATGGAGAAGTATTTCATGCATAAAAAATAATTATGTGACATAAAATGCAACCGTATAAAGCTTTTCCTAATGTTTTATACAGTTATTTTAGTTTATATGGTGTGGAAGTTTCAATTCTTCTGAAGAATTTCATCATAGAAAAATTTTAACGAATTCGAGTTTATTTGTGAGCGTGTTTTGTATATGAGAATGTAATTTTTCGCATGTAATTATTCATCAAAAAAATGTTGGCACAAAATGAAAATTATTCATATTAAATTAATTTGAATTTTTATAACAAATTTGAGGCCTGTGAGTATATATATAGCTATACACATATACGCACATTACATATATTTATACACACGTAGTTCTGAAATATGAATGCATACACTATCTTGCTTCGATGTTGTCATACAAAGTTAGTTTTAATTTGTTCCCTCTATTGCATTCATAATACATTTATACATGATGTGCATAAATATAGTAAATTCGGTATTAATGCACGCACATCGTGTACACTTAAATACATATATATATATACATATACAATAACAAGCAAAAGCATAAACACGTTATACAGATTTAGTTTGTAATTTTGCTAATCCTTATAAATCAGTTAAAAAGTTTATAGCACTATCACTTCGTTATAAGACTTGCGTGTTTACATATTTGCTTGTCACTATATGTGAATACGCATCTATGTTTTGTGTATTTAAAGGACGCATGTACATTATTACATAAATGCTCAGTCTTTGTTTCTTTAAGAGCATAAATCTTCTTCCACATTATTTATGTTACATTTTTTGTCAGAAGGTGTAAAAAAACAAGCACCGTTATTCTGTACCACTACAGGAAACGGTTCTTCTATCACCGATAATCGCTTTTCGCGATCTGTAGATGCTGTAGAGTTATGGAAGAAGACATTTCTCAAAGTGGCAACATTAACTCGTTCCCATGACACATTGTCATCTGTCGAATCAGCCTTTGATTCAGTATTAGAACTTCTGAAAAAATTAATTAATATTACATGTCTAAAAATATTGTAGCGGTCAAGATTCTAAAAACAATTTCATACTTTGTACTCTTTTGAGTATTTACGTCTTCTGTCTCTTTATTACGTTTACGTCTTCCAGAAGTTCGGCTATTCACTCCACATGTGCTGACAATTCCTTCCTGGTCTGCTTCAATAAAACTAACGTGATCGTCAAATCTGACACGTTCAGAACTTTCGTCCTCTCCACAAACGGTCCAATTACTGGAATCACTGCATTGACGATCTAATGTTGGTTTACGTCGAGCACGTTTCGCCAAACCAGGCGCTACCTCTTCAAGGGAACTCAAAGACGTAGCTTGACCTGCTGAGTCCATATGCCCTCCTGCAACAGAACTTGTCCCTTGTTCCCCTTCCGTGCTTCTGCCACCGCTAATTGAACTTCCATCCATCTGAACAATTCGTAGAATTGAAATTCATAACTGATATACCGATCGATTGCAATAACATTTTTAAAGAAAAATAAAATACTTTAAAATTTAGAACGGAGCCTGCCAAAGCCCTAGTGGAAGCTGCACCGTCATCCAAAGCGATAGATGCGTTTACAGATTTCTCTGATAAACTGGTTGCGGCAGATGCTGTTTCACTACACAAACTGAATCGTTGAGTAGACGTCACGTCCGCTTGAACTTCCAATCTATTTTTAAATATAACAGTTGTATACGCGACTTCTTAACAACTTATTGGCAATTATATGCATACGAAAGATCATCTCTTACCTTTGTCCACCTGGTAAAACACTAGAGGCTATACTTCCTGCGAGACTGGTGCCAGCAACAGCTACGTTGCTGGCACTTTCGCGATCGTTTTCACGTCCTAATTTTTCTAGGTGACTTCCACTACCTAACGAAAGGGAAGCCTCACCTATCGAAGGATTACCGCCACGATGACTCGCAACATCTATCGATGCTGCATCTAGAAGAAAGATTACGTTTTTAATCGCACCTAATCTTTTGTATTATTCAATCTACACCTGACATTGAAATCTGAACGATTGATGCATTTACCTCCACCGTTGCGAACACTCAAAGAACCCATAAGCTCATTTTCGTCATCGAAATCAAATCGCACTCCCGTACCATTCGTAGAAACACCACAACCTCCGCTTCGGCAAAGGGAAACGGGGACTACGCCATAAACATAAAATAATAAAATGGGTACACCAATACCTACGGCCAATCCTGCTAATAAGGGTGATACCAAAACCTGCAACGATGATAAATAAATTATAAACAATGGCCCTCGTTTGAATTTTTATTGATCTTAGTAGAGATTCAAATTTTACAGAGAAACATGCAATTATTAAATCGAGATTTTTTTTTAAATTATAGATATTAATAGTCTTATATAGTATGTGTGATCTAAGTGTATTAAATGTATTAGTGTATAATAAAGTGTATTCAGTAAGTGATATTAATAAAATTAGTGTAATAAAGTGTATTCATAAAGTGATATTAATAAAATAGGAAAATACGTTCCGCTGATGTATAACACAATTGTCAGCCAAATATCGGTTAATGAAAATTTAGAAGCAGAAATTACATTGCAAACTTTGAAGCACACTCGATTCATTGTTGTGTGGTTTCATGTTGCCGGAAGTTTCTGAATGCACGTTGCATAATTTAGAATTTTGTATTTTGCTTTACGAAACATTCGTCTCAGAAAGAAAAGCATTAAAAGAGAATTTTTTCGATGTATATATTTCGTAAGTCGCTTCCAATTTATGCTTGCGAAAATATGACATAAATCGTGAAGATATTTCTATGTTTGCACGATTTTTAATTAGAATCTCAAGCGGATATAGAGCTTCTATTAATAGTATTTAGTAGCAATATAAATAAAATAACTCGTATAAGAAGAAAGAAAACTGAAACGAGACATAGCTGTACTAATTATTATAAATATATTTAATTTATTCTTGTAAATTATTTCAAAGTATACGCCATAAAAAAAAATATATATATATATTTTTTTTTTTTTTTTATCAATCTACAATATTTTGGGAAAGGAACAAACGTTACGAGCATCAAACCGAAGGGATGATATGGTAATGAAATAAATATAAATCGGGCAGTGCATGATATAAATCGGCAAGCGTCATGACGAGCCAAAAGATTACACTGGCGCACGGTGATCTGTTTTCTAGATTTCCATCGAGTGTAGAACAGAATGCGAGGCAGCGGAACAGGAGACAGAGAAAGTGCATGGTGAGCAAAAGGTGCGGGAGGTGCGGAAGGAAGGATATTGATCGACGGTAGGAGTGCGCGCATGGGAGATCCTCTCTGTCCCACCCTGCGGCCTGCATCCACCTAGGTGGCTGACGATGGAATGTGTATCGTGTCAGTTGGTACTTTAGAATCCACACCACACCACGATCACAAACGGTCCGACAAATCGGGTGCCGGGATCGGGAAGTTGGTCGGTGCTCTGCGCCAAGGGTGTGTCGTGCCGTGGACACTGTGAACCTCGATGAGAGGACGACGAACTACGCCGGTCCAAACATTCAAGGACCGGTCGGCGTAACAGGAAGTAGAAGGGACACGCGACGAATCCATTCATTATTGGTGATTTCACGAAGCCTCCGCCGTACATGACAGACTTGTGCGCTCAGATGTGAACAGTCAAATAGGCACGTTCTGCATGTGTTATCGTTCGCGAGAGTGTACATGTAATTTATTGGCATTGATTGGGAACAGTAGACACGCGAAGCGAAACCACAGTACACGCATACTACGTACTCTCTCTCTCATCTGTTTTCTTTCCCCTTTTTGCCTTAATCGACACCACATTGACACTAATATCGCCAGTCAATTGTCATTAGTGTCAATTGAATAAATAAAGGGAGAGAGAACGAGAGAGAGAGAGAGAGAAAGGGAGGGGGGGAAATCAAAAGAAACGAAACCATGGCGAATTGGGACTGGGAAGACACCGACTGGGATTGGGAAGATACGGAAGAATCATCCTGTGGAGAGGAGCAGAAGCAGATTATCTCAGAGCCAGAGATTGACAAGGAGTGGCTCCTTGGTATCCTAAGGGAATTTCACAAAGAACCGGTTAGTTCGGTAGAAACTATGATTTACAGTTAACAATTGCCTGTAGCGATTTTTGTTACGGCATCATTTAAACAGCCTATAAACGCTTTATTAGCAATGAAAATGCAACACATTTGAAGATGTAGCGTACCAAGTATTGTTGAATTGCTTGCAAATTAACCCGTCATGTACACAGGTCACAATAACCGAATGTAACGTAAGTCCGGGCTGTATGAGTAATGAAAGCGCGCTCAGTGCTATAATTCGTGTTAAACTCAAGTACGTGTTGAACGACACAAACACTACGCAAGATCTGTCGCTTATCGTCAAAGAGCTTCCAAAAGATGCGTTCAGTCGGTTCTTTGTTATCGAAGGCCAATTCGATCTTCGAGAAATTAAATTTTACACACAGGTAAGCGAACAATTAATATATGCTACGTCATGCTACATCAATATTAAATTGTTCTATCCAACAAATAATAACTCGGATTCTATTTATATCAGGTTATGCCCGACCTGAAAGAATTTCAAAAGAAGCAACTAGCATCCCAGGGAAATGAATCGGACGAGGAAATTGTCTTGTCGGTTCCAGTATGCTATCACGCACATTACACACCAGCCGACGAATCGGACGATAACCCTACAACACCAGATTCTATTCTGGTGCTACACGATCTCCGTGACTATGATTTTCGACATATTAAATTTCGCGAGGGAATGACATACGATCAAACTAAAGTTGCGTTAGATGCTATAGCACGTATACACGCGCATTCTCTCGCAATGAAAGTTGTCGAGGGAGAGCCTTTGTCCGAACGTTATCCATTCCTCTTCCAAACAGCGAAAGCAACGGACTCGTATCAACAGTTAGTTGAACGTGGTTTGCCACAACTTGCCAAATTTTTGAAAAGTACCCCGGGATTAGAAGAGATACTCGAGGCTTTGCTTGTACTACGACCTAGAACTAAGCATATAATATCGGCACTTCTTGCACCGGAGGGACCGTTAGCCTTGATAACACACACAGATTTCTGGTGTAATAATCTACTTTTCAAAGAAGGGCCATCCGGCCTCGAATGCTGCATCCTCGATTGGCAAATGGTCACCTATAGTAGACCAACTAATGACATCGCTCTGTTGTTAGTGAGTTCATTGCCAACTGAATTACGTCGAAAACACACAGAAACCTTCCTTGATATCTACTGGGAGGCTTTAAATAGCACGACTTCTCGTCTTGGCGTTGACATTCCTAAAGATTTGGGCTATACAAGAGAAGACTTAAATAAGGACTACAGACGATCGCAACTTCTCGCTCTTCTACTTTGTATTGGATCCGTAGATGTTGCTTTAGGCGATGCAGATACTGAACAACGCTTGATCGACGTTTTAAAAGACCTTCATAATGAAGGTGTACTTACAGATGAGACTGCGATTGCTAATAGCGAAAACGACTCTTAGTCAGCGTTATTACTGCCCATGATAGTGCTGCAGCGAATTAATACTTCTATACGAAATGTAAATCGAGAAAGCAAAAGTTATAGAACTGATTGTTCAACAGCTCGATTCGTCTGCCATTGCGACTAACGTAATACATCTCAAGCAAAAAGGCTTGTATCGATAATTATGTAATTGCGGAATCGAAATCACGAAGTCAAGTATATGAGAATAGAATTGATGTTAGACTTTTATGTTTAACAGTATTTCAATATTGGATTGTTCTTGCGATATGTACACCCACAATTTAGTAAGAACGTTAAGTAAACAAAAAAATCAATAAACATTATATAAAGTTTTCAAATTAAAAACGATTCGAAATGTAAAAGAATTGCTAATACGTGCCATAACAAATAACTTAAGTCCGGGGAAACATTTTTCTCCACGAGTCAGTTAAATACAACAATATGTTTGATTGAAATTTCTTGAAAGTTCTTTTATCAAAATTTCTTCCCGCAATTACTATAACGGCTATACGACCGACATTCTGTTACTGCTAATTCACATATGCAATAATTATATTATCCCATTTCTTTGTACAAACTATATAAATAAAATACTTTGATGTTGTCATGAATTTATAGAATAATTTTCAAATATAAAAATAATTCCCAAGCAATATCCACATACATATAAGTAACATCATTACAGTGTAACATCATTACAACTTTAATTAGTAAATAATTTTTCGATTTTTCAACTTTCTAATTTAAAAAAAAGAACATCTATAAACTACATTGATACCAATTTATACGATGATATACATTATATATAAATATAAAAGACAAGAGTTTAACTTACAGATGCAGTTACTCCTCCAACAATAAAAGCGTTCCTCTTATGTTTGTTATCTTTCTCATATCTTGTATACAATTCCTTCCCTACCCATACTGGAATACCTATAATGAAATATACATATATAATACTATAAATTTATATAAAATTTTTTCCTTGAAAATATATTTGTAAACAAATGATATTTAATTTAATATTAAAATATATGGAAGAAACATTATCTATATTCATGGCATATGTGTATATATATATATATACCTATACATACATATATATATATATATATATACCTATAATCATAGCAGGTACAGCTATACCAGCAGCAAGGCCAATTCCAACTGGAGCTCCCACTAAAGTTCCAAGTTGCCAAAGTATTTTCTTTTTTCTAGACCATGGCTTTTTACCCCAAAAGGTACAACCAGAAGGACTGTGATTAAATGAAAAATTAATAAAATTAAATTTTATAGAAATATTGTTATTTGATAAAAATAAATAATTTAAATAAATTATACCTTAAATAATGAAGATCACTGATTTCCTTCATGCACAACCAACAAAACTCGGCACCACAAACAGCACAAACCATATGATTGCAACTTCCATCATCCATTTTAACAATAAGGACTTGACATCTTGGACATGGTTTGACATCATCTTCTATGAAAACAGTTTATACAAAATACATTATTTTAGAATTTTAAAATTCATTAACTTCTGGATCCTTAAATATAGATGACACATACTATGTTGCGAATCACTCTGACTGAAACTGAGAGATGAACTACGTTCATAGTATTGAGTACGTTGAGCTCTTGCAGCATCGCATGTTTGATTAGGATGCCAACGTGCTTTACAATGATAACAAAAATAGGAATCACATCCTGGTCGTTCACAACGTAATTTTGGGCATGAAGCGCAACCACTAGCAATAACTGCAAAGCTGCAATCTGGGGCAGGACACCATCTTGCATCAGGTTCTACGGCAAGAACTCGTCGTACCATAAAATCTTCATACTTTTCTAATTGCGTTTGATCATTTAGAATCATCCGAATGTCTATAAACGAATAAATTCAACAAACAATAGTAGTAATAATGAAACTCACATTATTTGTATTAAAGAAGAAAAAATACATTTACCATTTGGATGAAGTGGTTCTGAACATTCAGGGCAGGCTATATTAACTCTAGATTCAGAAATTTCAACTTTAAGATATTGTTGATAACAATCGTAACAACTACGATGATGGCAAGATTGGACAATAGGAAAAAATTCCACTGGTAATTCAGCCAAGCATAGAGGACACTCTACTAAACCATTTTCACTACTCTGAAATATTTATTTTTTAACCTAGGTATCATTTTAAATTATTAAATAATTAATGTAATTTATATCTAATATAAATTAAATCCAAGAAGTTTTGTTTCAAATACATATTCTATAAATACCTTTCCAGCCGAAGATAGTACAGAGCCTTTACTAGAAGCACGTTCTATGTTCTGAAATTGAAAATGGCTTGAACCATTACTTACTCTGGCTTCTCCTTTTTCAACATCAGTTATTTTGCCACTAGTTGAATCTTTTGCTAAAAAAAAAAAGATAATTAATTCTCATTCAAAAAAATAATTTTATTTTTTGTGTTTGATGATTATTTCCAATCAGATGATACTTATTACTTTTTGTATTCCTGTTACTTGAACTGGGTGTTCTAGCAATTCGCCGACCAATAAGTGGACTTGAATATAATAATCGCCTTAAAGAAAATCGTGCCAACATTCTTCTTGGTCGAGGAGCTGTACTGCTGCAGCCTCCAGAACTGCTATCATTTTCTTTGAACATTCTAGATAGTATTATAGATCACTACAGACTCATTCTTTGTATTATAAGATTAAGGTATTTTAATCTGTAATAAATAGTAAGAAAATGATTAAATATAAGATTTCTGAATTAACTCAACATGTATATCACTATCCTATTATATATTTTTAAAAAATATAATCATATAATCATAATACAAAATCATATGCTTAATATTAAAAAGAAAATCCACTAACCGTAATATAAACGTATTAAATATACGAACGATTATAATTTATGTTGTAGGTACAATATTTAGATGTTACACGTAATTATATCGATTTAAACATGAAGAACAAACCTTTGCAAATCTTAAATTAGGTTATTGCAAAAATGATAAAAAAAAATTTTTTTAAATTACAAATTATTTATTAATAAGAGAATCATTATTAAATGCATATAAGAAAATTATCAATTATTTATTATTTATATAAATTTATTAATAATGTTTTCAATGAATTCGGTTTATGCTCAATTTTTTACATACATTTACTTTATCACTTTCACTAAAAAAGGAGATTATACAGTCTGTCAAGGCAGTTGTCATCAATTACGATTTCTCCACGTTCATGAAGAGCATAAATAATCAGTATTTCGAAATCGTTTACGCGTATAAAGTGAAATATTGTAACATACAAGGTTAGTTTACTCGATTTGTATAACGTCAGTTTTATAATTCAAATATCACTATACAATTAAAGTTATCCTTTATTAAATGTCCAAATCTAAATGTGTAAATTATATTAAATGTGTAATTTACACATAGCGTTTTGTCAAAAGGTAATGTAATATAATATAATTTGAAGAGATAGAATAAATTTCTTTAATAGCATTAAAAATCGATTATATATTCTACGATTGTATTTATGAAATAATTAAAAAATATAAAAAATATTCATTGCAGATTTTTACAATGTTACATTTTACCTCAATTTATCCAATGAATTGTAAGTTTGTAAAAAATTTCTTTTTCGATATATAAATATGTAGTTATAATTAATATAAATGTAAATTTAATAAGAGTGCAAAATAATCGCCATTTGTAATAGCTTAAATGTATATATACATTGAACAAATATGTATGCACATATATTATATATACACATACACACGCGCGCAACCACATATAATGTGTGTAATATGTATATGTTTCATTAAATTTTTTTTTCATACATTATAAAATCATTTCGCATAACCTAAAATATCTTACTTTTTTCAATCAACAAGAAAAGAGTACAAAAAAACACATTTGAATTGAATACTGAGGAACTTTACGCATAGATGACTAGCATTAATACAGGTGTGAAAAGTCCATGAGCAAAAACCAACTGAAATGATTCCAACTAAAGTGTAAACGTACCTGATTTTGTATAACAATTCTTTCAAACCTGTACCACTTGTGATAACTAGTAATAATCACAATTAGGATCTCACACTATCGATAAGTTTCACCTATTTTGTTGGTTAAGAACGTTCACACTTGACACAACAGCTGACGGCTTTTGACTAGGAACTTATTTTGTACATAATTTAGATGAGGAACACAGTGAACAAAATGTAGAAATGTACATGCAGCGCCTCTATGTGAAAATATTTGACATAATATCAAATCAAAAATCTTGAGTATTATTTGTAAGTTTTTCAATTATTAATATTATTAAAAACACAAAAAACACAATTTGTAAAATACAATAATAGGTAGAACTTGAGATTAATTTTGTTTTAGATTATATTGCATTCATGACATATGAAAGTTTTTTACGAATATAATTCATGAATATTAATCACTCAATATAAAAAGTTGTTTATCTGTAACTATTTCAATCTTGTTTTATAGATTAAAATTTTTTTATATTAAAGAGATATATTTTTATTTCATTTATAGAAACAAACAATTATGAACAATCATCATAATTTATATCAATAATGTATACCTTTAAGAGATATTTCAAAAATATCTTTATTTTTCATTGAAATTTAATTTTATTTGCTTCTGTCCAAAACTTTCAAATTTGCAATCTTGTATAAACGAAATGATTATTTTTTATTTATAATTATTTCGTACTTAAATCAATGCAGAAATTCTTTTTCTTATGTATTTTTAATATTTTTTGTAATTATAAACAAAATTAATAATTAGAAATTAGCATTTTCAAATTATAAATATTTCAAAAGCTTCATAACAAAAATTAAGCGTAATAGTAAACATTTAATAAATATGTTATGGAAATTAAGGATAGGGATGAAGATTGTAGTTTAAAACGACTGTTAAGATTAAAAAACGATTATCAATGTTTTGAAAAAATTGTGGTTCATCGTACTAATGACCGCTCTATGTACAGAAATGTTTTATTCTTAAATTATGCACAAATTGCAATCAATACAAATGTATCTGAAACAAGCAAGTTGGGGGATGTCTCAGTTTTTTTTTTTTTTTTTTTTTTTGGCTGCCATAAGAATATTCAGATAAAATGGCAGCTGTTTTGTTAGGTGTCAATGTGTTGCATCAACCGCCATGCGTTTTTGCAAAATTCTTAAGACATGTCCGATTAGTTGTTGTCATATCCGGAAGAAAAGGCAGCTGTTTTAAATTGACAAATAATGTTCCATATTCACTGATAATCAATTTAAAACAGTTAGCCATATCTATTTTATAGCTTAGTATAGTAAAGCTAGTTTATTTTTTCAGACATTCACATTTCGACTAAGTAGTATTATAGTAATAAAGGTATGCGCTAAGTCTGCACTTCAGCTAGATATCATAAAACATGTATCATTCCTTCTCTGGCACATCATACATTGGTATTACTAAGTATACGTTTACTTTCTTTTTAAATCATGCGAAACAATGTAGAAACGAACGTCATATCAAATCCTAATGTTTGATAGTATGCTTAGACTGTAATAAAAAAAAAGACTAAATTACATGAAAAGTGAACCCGGAAATAAAAACCGACTTCTTGTGTATACTTATTTGTGTTTTTCACAATCAAATTAGCATTCATCATGGTATTATTAATCAACACTCAGTATTGAAACATAAAAATCTAGTGTTGTTAAATAACGCTACTAATAATCGTAAACCAAAAAAAAACTCAATCTTGTTAAGTAGAAGGAACATCATTGGGAACACCTTTTAACCAAGACTTCATGCAGCTGCCACCTACCATTGTTATAACTAACAATGGAATCCATCTTTTTCTTGCACCACATCATGTTTCGTCCTAGTTTTGTCGCAAAATAGTTTATACCCAGTATGTTCAATTATTGTTTCTTTTTCTATTTCTTTTAGATATGAACATAAAATAACACAAGATACGTACTTTTGCTTGTAACATACATTAAAATATGTTAACATTTTTTCTTATTACTTTTTAACAATTATCACAGTGATAAAAGTGATAAAAGAAATAATTAAGAAAAAGAACAAAACAAAAAACCGATTAAAATTGATTATATCCTGCATTTCTATACGTATTGTGTTATTTTTTCATGAATATAGCGACACATCTAGGCGAAAATTATTCAAATTGATAATTGACATACGAGCCACGAATATCCAGCCTATTATTAGATCATTTCTCAAGATTAAGAGGTACTTTATAGTACATCCGAATTACTGTCACACAAGTTGGGAGCTTGGTATAAAAATGAGGCACAGTTTCACAATCAGGGGATTCCTTTTTACCAGATGCTTCTACTATCTCCCAATGAATGTATCCATATATCAAACATGATAGCATAATTACTATCATTAAACTAAACCATGCATGGATATTAATATGTGTCCTTAAATGTGTTTAAGGAGAATGACGATTTCTTAAACAATTGTCATATTCTTATCGGTAGCAAACAGTCTTAACAACGAGCGTAGACTAATCATGTCGCGATCCATAATCGTGTAGTCCTTGCGTAGGTATGCGTCATGTTATGTGCTGGGTGTTAATAGCTCATCAGGTGTAGTGTTATATGTAAGTAGCAGTTGTCGACCATAATGGTTATTTAGCCACTGGTACCATTAACCAGAGCTTCCTTAGGCTTATTGCTCTGTTGCATACGAGGATGACGAGATCGTAATTCTCTTTGGCCTTTAGGCCCTTGGGAACTGTTGTTAGTAGTAGAAACGTCATTTGCTGGTGTTCCTTCTTTACTAGTTACAGTTGATTGATCTCCTGGGCCAGCATTGCTGCCTAAACAAATATGTAGATTAACTCTGAGTGTTACTGTGTAAAATTAATGCTCATTCTAAAATATTTATTTAATATTGTACTTAACTTTTATACTATATCAAAACCGATCGTCCTAAAGGAAAATTACATTGAATAAGTTCTTCAATTTCGTGATTACCTTTTTGATTATTTGTTGGTGTAGAACTACGTTGTCGAGAACGTCGAAGTCGTCTTCGCCTCATGCCTTTAGGTCCTCCCTCCACACTTGATACAGATTCTATGCATATGCAAACCATTGTGACCATCTTTTTATAATATAATATAAAGCATTACTGAAATTCAAATAGTTTTAGAACTGATTGTAAGCTATATCGCATTAGTAAACGTGCATTAGTAATCATTGATATTATTAGTGTTAGATGGTCACAAGTGTTTGTTTTACAACAATACTCCATGCCACTCTCAAAGGATTTCACCAATCTTTAGGACGAAACGGCTATTCTACCATAGACTATTATTGGAAAAGTATTATTACCTCTGTCAATGCTTGAAACGTCTTGACTATCGAGAACAGTATCTTCATCATCGGTTGTTCGACGACGTTCATCTCTACGATCTCTACGTTGAGTTGGAGGACGACCTTGTCTACCACCCATGTACCCTGAATTGCCTGCACCTCCTTGATGACCACCTCTTGGAGGCAGATCCCTTACTCGATCTTCACTACCGTCTAATGTATCTCGACGTAATCCTGTAAATTAAACCATATATATAACAAAAATCAAGTTAAATTTTGAACATAACACAATGAACACAAACATTTTAATGATTTTATAAAACAAATGAAATGATGAAAGATTAGTATCCTTACTTGTAGTTGATGATGATCAATGTAGCATTTAACACATTAGCAATGATGCTTCCCATTATAACAACTAAGGATATTAATTCGGAGTGAAGAGGCATCTTTGGAATCAAGCTCACTAATTTTTAAATTTCTTCTTCTACCGTTAAATATTGTATTTACATAAATTTATACAAATTTAAATGAAAACTAATAGTGTGATATTAAATTATAGAAAAATAATTTTATTGAATTACATTAATGTAATTAAGAATGTTTGTAAAATTCACGTCATTGTTATTACCTAATATTTTATAAGTTAAAAATCAGATTCACGTGGAGTATTTTACAAGGTAAATTTTATTATAAAACGTATATAAGTACATTTTTAATAAGAATAATAACATAATTGTTTCTTAATTTCTTATTTATCAACTTGCAAACGACCTATATAGCTAGGACAACACTTAATTTTGTTAATGTTTAAAAAGCAATTAAAGTTAATTACATTTAATGTATTAGTTAAATGAAAGGTTCAAAAGTTGTTATATAGGTACATGTTATAAATTTGACGCGGAATATTTGTTAATCCGTAAAAATTAATTACTCTTAAGATATAATATGTGATTAGACAATTCGCACACAAACTAATATTATATGCTTTATTTATTCTTCAAATAATTAATAAATCAAATGAATCACACACCGTGAGTTACTTAGCTACTACATGCATTTCCATTAAACACATACATGCAAATGCATATGGTTGCAGTTATTTTCTATTATGTTATAATTCCATGTTCTATGTAATGACATGTTTACAAATGCGAATTGTTAATATATCTATAGATATTAACTGGGGCAGTATAAAGTAATTATGACAAGAACAATGAATTACGAATAACGATGTACGATGAAAAACTAAATAGCTGAAACGGTTTTATAACAAGTACAGTTTTAAATCTATATAATTAAACAATGAAACGACTGTAAAAAGGTCATTAATAAAAGGCCAAATTTGATTTGAATTTCATGAATCATTTCAACGTTCGTGATAATAAAAGTCATAAATAAATTAATACATTAAGAAAAAAATTATTCTTTTTGTATGTGTTTGTATGTGTTTTGATCAATCTTTTTTAAGCTTATACTGATACATTTATAAATTTTTAAGGTTTTCAATTTCTTAAATGTTGCAAAACAACTCCTAAATATATTATTTAATGGGTATTTGCAAGAATAAATTACAGTAAAAACTCGTTTATCCGAATCCCTAACAAATTATTTTATTTACTGAGCTCTAGATAAAATGGATAAAGTAATTCTTCAGAAAATATTTATAAACCCAGAAAAGAATTTTTTTTTTAAGTAACATTTTCCGATAGAGTTATACATATGTAATTTAATTTATCTATTAACTTTTAGATGTAAAGAAATGTTTAAATACATACAATTTTTCTATAGATTATTAAAAGTAAGTATAGCAAAGATCGAATAAATTATATATGACAAGCTATGTTACACAACAAAATATATTGGCATTGAATTGAGCGTTGAATAAATTAAGCTATGGTAGAGAGAATATTGGATAATCCGAACTTTCATTTATTCAGATCAAATAGTCATCCCATCAAATCCGAATAAATGAGTTTCTACTATAAACCTTGTATAATAATAATCCTAGTACTGATTTTAACTTCAACAATTTATCAAATGTTACTTTGTGACAACACGCCCTCTGTCTTTAAAATCTCTGGGTTCTCTACTGTCTCTCGTGTTGGGTCCACCGCTTCTGCCATTACGTTTTTGTGTGTTCTCTACATTGTTGATATAGTCAGTAATAGTATTACCGGCATTGTGTCTGGTGGGAGCCCTACCCCTGCCACCACGTCCGCGCGACTGACCGCCACGGCCTCCACGTGCTCCACCAGCTTCTTCTGGGCCTGTGATCATACCCCGTCTTGTGGGAGGAAAGTTGGGCATTGGTCCTGTTGTCGATCCATGCATATTTCTTAATTGTTGGTCAATTTCTAACTTTTCTTGACGCAACTGTTCTACTTCCTTTAAAACAGATAATACAAAATTATAAAAATAAACAATAACATTTACAATAGATATATATTTTACATTATTATACCTTCAAATGTGCCAAATGATATTCCAATAACATTTTGGCATTAGCGATACTTTCAACAGTACCAACAAACACAAAGGGCACCTGACCCTCTTCTCTCGGAATCGTTGGTTGAGGTTCGTTGTCTCCTTCTATTTTAACTCGTACCTAAAATTTATTAAATTATCCTATTAATCATATCAGTAATAACAATTAATGATTGTATCTACAATTAATCATATTTTAATTAAATTAATAAATTAATCATATTTTTATAGCAAAATTCAGGTAACACTATAAAACATTCATATATTTATGTATAAAGCAGTTAAATATTAATTAATGCAAATGTAATATTTACCACACCACTTTTATCGACAATTTCTTGTATTATACGACCATTTTTCCCAATTACTTTGCCTACCAAAACACGTGGTACTTGTATAGATTCTTCACTATATTCAAGCAAAGAACGAGCTTTTTTAACAGCTTCGTGTGTCTGTAATTAGATAAGTGTGTACTATTTAACGACTTTGTATAAAATCTTCATAATTTATAATTTTTTACATGAAACACATAATGTAATAAAAATAGTGAAAAAAGTGAGGATTCATTTAAATTTTTACCTCTCCATATATTTTAAATGTGCATGAATTTTCTTCTAATTCTATATTTGTAATTCCGTCGACCTTTCTTGCCTGTTGGATATTTGCACCATGTGCACCAATAGCTAATCCCATCAAGTCTTCTCGAACATTGAATTCATCTGTGTATCTAAAAAACAAAATTTTAATTTATATATTTAACTTTATATAATAAAACGAAGCTATTGCAAAATTCATAATATATATATATATACATATGTGTGTATAATTAAGTTAAATTACTATAGACAAATTCAAAATAATATTTTTTGTTTAATAACACTTTAAATTAATGAATATCATTTAATTTCTAACATCAAATTTCTTGTCAATATTAACCGCTAATACTAATAATATAGCAGACAGATAATTAGTTATAAATATTATTAATATATCCTAATAACATGATATATTAAAATTTTGATATTTAATAATACAAAATTTAGATTTTCGTTAGTAACATGCAGTCTTATATTATTGCGCGCACGCGTTATCATTGCATTACAATACAGTGATAATAAACATAATTAAATATTTCAATGAAATTTAAATTCCTGTCAGTGGTTTGCGTCCTGGCAGATAAAAGTAGGAACAGAAAAATGTTTTATGAAGTAGCATCAAATGCATATATAACATTTTTACAAATTATAATAAAGTAATACTTAAGCAAAGGTTTCAAAATTATTTTTAGATAATTAATTTGACTTTTAAATATCTTCTACAAATTATATAAAAATAAAATTGAAATTTAGAATTCAACGTGCAGTATATGTTCAAAACTTTGTTTGTGATATGTGTGCAAACACTCACACGAAATACTCATATATATTTTGATATAATAATAAATAAATAGTATATATATATAAAATTGTTCATTTTAGAGAATGATATATGAATATGAATTTAAAATCGTATTAAATAAATTATATAAGACATGCACACATATTTTTGTTATGAAAACAAATTTTAAAATATATTACAATTTTATTTTAACTTCTTGAAAATTTTTAAAACAAATAATCTTAATAACAAAACTCTTTTTTTGTTCAATTCAACTTTCTATATTATATTAATAAAAACAAGTGTAATGCGTTAAGTTTTGAATAGTACTCCAAAACAATACAAATATAATAATAAAATACAGAAAATTTTAAAATTAGAAACACATAACAACCCTGTTTTTATTTAAACAAAATTTATCTCAATATAATTAAAAAAAATATATTTCTTGTTGCATTTTTTTACTTTATGTAAGTAACTATAACATAATATTAAATAAATAGAAATAAAACTATAACTACGATATAATACGAAGGATTGCAAAACTAATATAAATTAGTTTAATGCAAATTAGATATTTTATAAATGAAGATGAAATGTATAAATGATATCATATATAAATGAAACTAAAAATATTATAGTATATATGATAATTATTGAGTATAAGTTTCACATTAATTATGAAATATTGCTCTATTTAATAATCCTGAATTTAATAATCTTTATTGAAATTTGATTGAATTCTTTAGATTTGGAAATATATTAGATAGAGCCACCACTTTTTCAATTCTTTGTGCAAAACACTTAATATATCAGTGTTTCTCAAACATTGGCAGGCTAGAATACAATTTCCGACATGGGATAAATTAATGAACTTAAAACTCTACTCATACGCATAAATATATGAATATATATATGTATATATAAAAAAAAAAAGGAAAAAAGAAGAAAAAAAAAAAAGAGAACAGATCACAGCTACACGTTTATGTTTATTCACTATTTTATCAATCACGCAAAATTTTACTACATAACACATAATAAATAGAAAAAAAATTAAATAATAAATTTTGTATGTCAGTGTACTTAAAGCATTTGAATTTAAGTGAATGATCTACACAACGCCGAAGCATGCACATTTATAGTGTAGTTTCATTTTTCATTTGAAAAATGCAGCTGTGTAATTTATCATACAATAAGCTAAACTTAAATCTAAACCACGCTGCTGTGATCTCACCTTGAATTTGTTTTCACTCCTGCCTCAAAGTCTGAGACACGCTGATATATAAAGTTTGAAGATCTAAATTTGCTGAAATGAGAAAGAAACTCTTGGTGTAACTTATTGGAAATTCATATATAAGATGGCCCTATCCTGTGTCCCTGCCATTCTGTCTGTTTGCGCCTTATGAATAAATTTGTAATGTTTTATACAAATTTATTTTTCAGAATATTTATATAAACCAAGTACTCAAATATTTTGTATCAATTTGAGACAAAAATAATATTAAAGCATTATATTACTTTTTATATGTATGTTAGTACACTTACAATTTGAAAATAAAACATAACACTGCATATTCATTTTATGCATATTAGATATTCATAAACATACCTGTGTAAAAATGAATTAGTATCCAGTGTTAGCATTAAATAATTTCTCCCCAATTTCTACTAACTTCCTAAGATTTATTAAATATCATTATTCAATCAATAAAGAATTATACAAACCCGTTATCTGAATGTATGGAGGAATGTGTATCTCAATCTAAAAATATAATTTTATTAAGAATAATTACAGCGTTTGAAAATATGAAATGATAACTTTAAAAAAATTTAAAGTTATCCTAATTACATGTATTAGTAGCTGAAACATATAATGACATTGTTTGCTGCAGGAACACGTAAAGCATCTAAAAACTACAAAGATATCCGTGACTCTTTATATGATTATCAATGTACAAGTATTTTACTGAATGAATTTTATTTCAAATTACTTCACTATAACATATGCTACATGACAGAAAAATAATTAAATTTTTTTATATATATTTCAGATATAAGTTTGCAAGTACATGCATATCTAACTTGTACTTTATAGTACACAAATTTAATTATTAGAAATAATTCTAATTTTATGTAATCATGAGTAATAAATAAGGCATTTGTTGTAAATGTTTGTGAAAATATTATTGAATATTTCCTTTACTTTGAATGATTAATACCTAAATTCTTTTATGCAATTAAAAATTGTACTCTTATTGGTTTATAAACGTTAATAACGATTTGTTGATTAAAAAATTAAAACTATTATCATAGTAAAATGAGATAAAATACGCATGTAGATTAGATTAAATTAATTATATTATATGTAACTAATGATTATAATCAGCAAACAATGAAAAACATAGCATCAATCTATTTGTAACAATATTATGAGATAAACAAAAGAATTTGTCAGCACAAAGTGACATTCACTAAAGACAGATGAAAAAACACATTATGTGCAAATTTATTACTATATGCACATCGTGCTCTTGTGATTGGCAAAGTATGTAAAATAAGATAACTAACACACAAAGATTTGTATGAACTTTGAAAACCTTGCATATAAAATTTATTAAATATTTTATACACAATCACACTTGTAATATGTGAAAACTAGAGGAAATGTATAATAAACATTTGTAATGTGACTACATAACATTCATGAAAATTATATGATGTTGAAGCAAACATATTGATTAATGATTGGAAATCTTGTGAATTTTTTCTGCCAGTAAATGCAAACCACAGACAGGATGGTAACCAGGACAGTGTATGGATAAGGGCAGGTATTTAAATGTCACAAGATTTTTTTTAATTGCAACACCAACTCTAATCTTTCTACTTACCCCCCAATTGTTTGAAGTTTAGTTGACTCAAGTTGACGTGCTGCTTCTTCTGTTCTTTTCAAAAGCAATACCTGCAATATGCAAGATGCAAAAATATGTTTTACATGTTTTAAAATGTTTTTATCCTATTTATAGCATATATTTATATTTAATTATTTTTAATATTTAAAGTATTTTGAATAATTTTATATCATCATAAAATATAAGTTAAAAAAATGTCAAATTCAATTTTGTAACTCACTTTTTGCGATAAGTTTCTGAAGTGCATTTCTTGGAGCATGCTACTGTGACGATGTAAATTTTCATGACGGGAGATGGCCAGCAATACTCCCCGTTCAGGCACATATCGGCACACTGCCGCCCCTATCGCTTTTTGAAATTCCTTGTGTGCATTTTCCATTTTGGCACTATATACATATACATTAGATCAGATTGTATTTAAAATACTTGTTACTTTTCTATGAAAGAAGATAACCTAAACTTGATACCTACAATTCTCTTAGATCTTCAGGTACTTCTATTTCGATCTTGTGAAATGTATTTTTATCAATAGGGGGATTAGGATTTTTTGCCCTCAGTCGTTCACTAGCTACAATTTCAGTATAAGAGCATTCCCATCCCGAATATTCAACTACTTGAAAACCTCCTTTACTCATCTGAAACAAAAATCAAAAGAAGAAAAAATTGAAACTACGAAATCTTATAAATAAACTTGTTCAAAAATATTAGGCAATATTAAAAATATTTTTTATCAACCTTAATGATAGCTTTCCACCATCCACATGCTTCGTGCTCATTGGACCTAGAAAATACCTCAATCTCCATGTTTTCAGAAAATTCAGGTTTCTGACCATCTGTTGGAGGTAGACGTACTTGAGCAAATGGAAATTTTGATTCCGGTTGCCAACTAAAACATAAAACATTTCATTAAATATTAATTATCCAGAAACAACATTGCATAATTTTATGTATAAGATGTATAAGTTTTAACTAACATACATTTGTAAACAACATCTGATAAAAACATGTTGATTGTTCACATATATCTATTCTTTGAAATTGATTTCATAAAATAATGTTATTGTTACCATTACTCTTTTGTTAATAAATATTATTAGTATATCATACTATCTGTTATATAGAATCATAACATCATACTATATCACATGTAATTCTTTGATATATCTGTGTATTTTATATTTTGATGTATTCAAAATAAAATTATTTGATTTTATATTAAACAAAGAAACAAAGAAAACACAACTTATATATAATATTTTTATATTTATAAATATGTATAATCATATGTATTAAATTGTAAATATTCTCTTTAACATTTAGAAGTATTTAATGTTTTTTATCATTAATATATGAGTAAAATAATATATGTGGAGCAATGTAAAAAAAAAAACTATGATTGACCATATAATAACAACAAATAATATTCATAGAAATTATACCATATTTTAAACTATTGACATAGATATTAGAAATATTAGAACTTCTATAGGTGATAAAATGAATGATTCTTGTGCTCAAAAGACTACACTGTTATTAGCACAGAGTATTAGGGTGAACATTCATATATACTGGCATCTAAATTTTTCTTGAGAAGTAGAAAATATACTTACTCATTTTCAAACGTTACCAGAACCTCGTCTTCAAAGACGTCTGTGACAAAGGCCTGAAAAAATCAGACATAAAGCGTATCAATTTATTTGTTGAGGAATCACAGGTATAACGAGTGGCGTAAGATATTCAGATACAATATCGCGTTGCTTTCGGGGTACGGTAAAGAGCAGTGTTTTTATAATTCCGGTATTAAGGGTATACGTTTTTGTGAATCGGGAGAGCATTAAAACGTATCGCAACATCAAAAGCTGACGAAAATCACGCCCTGTCAAACGAGACATGGCGTCGGAGGAAGCCGCGTTACCTCGCGAACATTTGAGGGCCGCGCTTTCGCGAAGTACGGGCGTCTCTTTTGTGAGATTAGAACCGCGCCATGGGCCGTAAGTTGATCTATCCACGGCCTCAATCTTCCGCCCTGTTTTTTGTATACTTTTCACAGAACGAACCTTATAATATGCTCCGTTTTCGCCGCATACTTCGACTGTGAGATCCTCCATCTTGCTTTTGTGTGACGGCTCGCCTCCTTTGCAGCAGGCATGCTGGCGAGCGGGCAGCTGCACGAGTTCGAGGCTGCAAATTCGTTGTTCACCAATCGTACAACTCTTTTCCATGATGCAGCCTCTTTATTGGATGGGGTCGTGCAGTGTTACCACTTTCGTATCGTTAATTTACGTTTGAAAGAACTAGGATAATTGAAATACGCACCAGCGCATTCAGCACAAAACTGTGCACTTGTGTAACCACTATTAGAAGTCAAATCATGACTTCGTGCCGCTTACGATCCTGTGGCCGCTTCTATTTGGCCCTAGTGTTCGCGATTTTGCGAAACGCGTGACGTGCCTTGACAGTACCGATGCGGACAAGGATATTATTACCGATCACTCAGTGCAGACGACAATGTCTGGAAGCAGCGATTCTGAAGAATTTTTTGATGCGGAGGATGATACTTTTCATAATGCACGGTAATTTTTTTGTTTATTAAATGATTCCATTCGAAATTCTATATATCTTGTTTCTCTCTATACCTTGTTCGCGCAATAAAAAATATTCCTGCATAAATTCCATAAATATTTGGGAACTGTTGGAAAATAAAGTGCAATAAAATTTAACTTGCAATTTTGATTCTTTTTTTCACTCGTCATATTTCGCTTCAAGTTTCTGTAGATACAGAAGTTTGTTCCAGATCATTTATGTGTATCTAATTTGTATTGTGTTCTCAAATAATATTTTTGGTTAGGTTTGAATTTGAACACTTATATCTGTCGTTCATATGATCGTATGCAGCTATTTAAGGATGTTGGAAAATTTTGCATGAGTTTAATCATTAGTATTATAAATCTAGAGATTTTGAAAAAAATCTTATTAGTTATAAGTTACATTTGAAAAACTATCAATCTGTTTAATAAATCACTCATTCATCTTGACATAATTGTATTTTTTTGTGTTTAGTTTTAATAGATAAATATTTAAATGTTAATTTTAAATGTTAGTTCTTTTTATTATTATATTATCATATTGCATTATTATATTATATTACCACACTATATTAATATGAATATGTGTATCGATAGAATTATAGTACTAGGAATTTGAAATAAATTTAAAATATCTTGTTAAAATTCTATAAGATATACTTTAAATTTATATATGTTAAGAGTTGTTTCTGCAAATTAAATATTTGATTTTTATAGGAAAAGTAAACAACGTGATTCTACCGGCGTTGAAATACAAAACAAAGATACTTCGGAGTCTTCTAAAAAAATGGACGATGATGTTTTTATGAAACCTGCTCAACCTAAACCAATTGTAGAACCAAAGGAACATGTAACAATAGAATGTATAGTTAATAAAGATAAAAGTGTAAGTGAATGTGTCAACATTAAAGTATTATACACTTAATATTATCTTCATGTTTAACAAAAATTATTTATTTAAACAGGAGGAGGATGGAAAGGACTCAAGTACGGATAAAAGTCTAGGCAGAAGAAGGTTCCGTGAATTGAGACAACGTATGCAAACAGAAGACGATGATATTCCAATTAATAGTTCTCCTCCAGATAGTCAAACATCATCTATCGAGGGTGTTTATCCCACTCCTTCAAAGACAACTCATCCATTCAGGATTATAGAACATGATACTCTTAGTTTACAAAGCATAACATCTTTAGGACGAGTGGGTCGAATTTTAGCTGGAGTCGGGGACACTGCGTCTGTTACACTTGCACCAAATGTAACTCAGTGTCCTGCTTCTGCCATTCTTACCCGTGAAAGCCAGATGTCCTCCATTGCTAGTATCCCAAGCAAAGATGAGGACACAGCATCTGGTAAGGTGTCCCAGTCCTCCAGCATCCTTACGTTATCAGGGGATATCCTTCAGGAATCCTCTGTTAACAGTAGGTCCAATTATGCTTCTCACTCACAAAATGATAAGACTGTTATGCTTCAAGAACCTGATGTCATCGCTAGTACAAAGAATAATGGAAAGTCAAACGAAGATATTACTATGGCTGGAATACCTGTTGCGCCACCAAGACGTAAAAAAAAGTCAAAAGCTCAAACACCTTCTGATCTTGCAGTACGATATTACGATTATTAATATTGTTTCTTACGATATTTATTAATAATTTCATTATTAAAAAAATGATTTGAAACAAGGCAAATAAATATAGATTTATAATTTTAGCCTTCTACGACAGAATCAGCATTATCCACTTCGCCATTACCGAGCCCAGCAAGTACTATTGAATCCATTACTAGAGAATTTGAACATTCTCTTGATATTCGATCTGCAACGAAGGGACAATATGTTGTTAAACCACAGGTCTGTAGTATTATACTTAAAATATAATATATTATAATATATAGTTTTATATTTATGTGTCATCGTTATATGTATAGGATGAAGATAAATCAAAAGCTGAAGGCCCATCGAGCGAAGAGTTGGTAAGAGTGGAAAAAATGAAAGCTGAACTAATGAATGTGAGATCAAGTGAGAAGTCTAGTAGTCCACTGGGATCCATGTCTAATAACAGTATCGGCCGTTATTCATTAGGTCCTCATAAATTAACGGGCTTAAGTCCTCAAGGATCGAAAGAAAGACGAAAATCAGCAGGTGATCAAGATATGGTTCAACAATTAAATATGTTTGTAAGAACAAGAACAGATTCTGGGAAACGACTAACTGATATGGTATGTTATTGACGTAAAATCAATAAATGTTTAATAAATTTTCTTTCTTTTTATATTTAAATACTGATAATAATAATACATAAATTATCTTTAGGAAATTTTGGAGCAAGTAACTGTTCTAAACTTGGATACCGGTGAAAGAGTACCATTAAGTATAGCAGAAGATAAATTACCACAGTGTATCAATCCTTTGTCACTTCATATTATGAGACTTACTTCGGAATATATAAGTAATTCTAGTCTAGAAAAAGAAAAAGAAAGTGATGAGGAAAGTGTTGATAGTAAAATGTCTAGTATACCACCAGATGAAGATGTATCTGTTGGCAGAGTTCGAAAAAGAACGCAGAAGTTAAAACGATTTTTAGGATCTACTGTTAAGAAAACAATGGACAAAGCAAAATCTATTGCACAAGAAGTATCACATGCAAGGCATAAGGAAGATGTTATGGATATAGTAGATGAAGTATATCCTGGTGAACAGCAATACATAAAACTAAAAGCTTCTAATAGTCACAAAGGACCATATGAATTTAGTTGTTTACAGCATGTTCAAGATTTAAGTGGCGAACATGTAGGCCCTGTTTGGTGTATGAAATTTTCAGTTTGCGGACGATTACTCGCTACTGCAGGACAAGATCGAGTTCTAAGAATTTGGGTTTTACGGGATGCCTTTACATATTTTCAAGATATGCGAACTAAATACAATGCTGAAAAAGTTAGTCCAACACCTTCCCAAGAATCTTTGGTTTCGCAACAGTCTATGGAAGATCCCAATGTCGTGGCTAGTGCCTTTAGTGAAATAGAAGGAACAAAAAGTCCTTTTATGCCAAAACCATTTTGCACTTATATCGGACATACCTCGGATTTGCTCGACGTTTCATGGTCTAAAAATTATTTTGTCTTATCGTCGTCGATGGATAAAACTGTGCGGCTTTGGCATATATCACGAAAAGAATGCTTATGTTGTTTCCAGCACATTGATTTCGTTACAGCAATTGTATTTCATCCTCGTGATGATCGTTATTTCCTCTCAGGATCTTTGGACGGTAAACTCCGACTATGGAATATTCCGGACAAAAAGGTAGCTGTGTGGAATGAAGTTGATGGACAAACTAAATTAATTACTGCGGCAAACTTTTGTCAAAATGGGAAATTCGCAGTGGTTGGTTCTTACGATGGCCGATGTATATTTTACAACACCGATCAGTTAAAGTATCACACGCAGATACACGTACGATCAACAAGAGGTAAAAATTCAACAGGAAGAAAAATTAGCGGCATCGAACCAATGCCGGGAGAAGATAAAATTTTAGTTACTTCAAATGATAGCCGAATACGCTTGTATGATTTGCGAGATTTGAATTTATCATGCAAATACAAAGGTTACGTTAATGTCAGTAGCCAAATTAAAGCAAGTTTTAGTCCTGATGGACAATATATAGTTAGTGGCTCGGAAAATCAATGCATTTATATTTGGAAAACTCATCATGATTACTCCAAATTTTCAAGCGTACGTAGAGACCGAAATGATTTCTGGGAAGGTATAAAAGCTCATAACGCTGTAGTAACATGCGCAGTATTTGCACCAAATCCAGATAGTATTATTAAACAAATTGAGGAAAGAGAGCAGTGGGAAGGTAAAGAAGATGCAAAAAATCTAGGTAGTTCAACCGTAGATGTTCCTCCGGTCGATCCTGTGGTCGAGCAGCGTACTAAAGGCTGTGGCGGTCATGTTCTTGTGAGTGCGGATTTCAATGGCTATATAAAGGTTTTTCTAAATAAGACAAAACCTAAGCACAGTTCCCTACCAGCATCTGCTCTCGCGTAACACGATACTAGATTTATTTGTGCACTATTGTTAATATAAAGAAAAAGAAAAAAATTAATAAGAACACCGATATTATATACAGCTATTTGTTTTACCTCAATGGATTATATAGGATTTGCTGTATACTGTTTTTAAGGTAAATACGCGACTGTATTAAATACTTTCAAAAACGAAATATTTTGAGATGCATGCCAAAAGGCTTACTTCACAATAAGAAAGCTTCTAAGATATAGTTAATAATACTAAAATATTTATAAATTTGATGCTCAGGCGATTTCTCGATTTCTTTTTTTATGAAGATGACCAACAAATGTCTTGCTTTATTACAAATTAAATAACATTTGCATACATAATTTCTACTAAAGCTTTAAGTAAGCCATATAAACCGTTATAGTTTTATAAGATATCGTATTTTTAGCACTTTTTTAAATTGAACATATTTTTATTGATTTTTCTTTCTTGTATTGTATCTTTTCGGTGCTGGTTCACTGTGGTCATATAGAGTTATACATGGAAATCTTGCCGAAATTATGTTACAAAAGACATACGTGGTTAACGGAATTGTTCGTTTCGATTATATTTATAAACAGAAAGAGCACCTTGGTGAAGAAACAAAGTATAAATACAAGCACGCAAGCGATGGCTGAATAGAACAATTTAATGAATTGTACGAATGAATAAATGTAAAACTTGTACTTGGTGATCCATCGTTAGGCAAATGTTGGATAGTAGCTAGAAAGTTTCATGAAAATCAAATTGGATTTTCAAATCCTAATGGTTTCTAAAATATGTTCTAGAACTTTACCGTGATAAGATAGCGTAATACATCGAAGACAATATATTATTAAACAAAGAAAAGGTGGTTTAAAGTTAAAACGCATCATTGTTAAGTTTTTGTACGAACGCAATTCACATTCTAGAAACCATTTCACCAATTCAATGAAATTTGACATTACATTCTGTAAAAATTTAGTTTACACACGTTGTATCAATTTGACCGATCAATGTGAATGGAAAGTTTATTTTATACGCGAACAAGAGACCCTCATCATAATACTCATAACACTCGCTACGTTTAATGTTCGACACTATGTCGTAATTGTCATTTTAATCTGATTTAAGGGTATATAAAATACCTATTTCGCAACGTGTCAATTATAACGGCAGAAACGTATACCGTGTACGAGGGGCAATGGCTTAATGCTGTTCCAAACTCTGCATTTTACGATTCTGTGTATTTGATAAATCACGTCTTGAAGGATGATGCGCTATTCAGTCGCGTGGTGAAGTATGGCTGATGGTTGATCTCTGTGCCACTAACGTTGTAGTGCTCGCACAGACGTAAAAATGATGAAACCATCGAATTACAACGTATGATATATTTTATTTGTATCGTAAATTTAATGTAAATACGCAGGAAAGAAATTGTAGGTATTTTGTGTAAATGCAACTGTAAATAAATTAATCAAGCGACAGCGTAATCGCTTATTAACGATATTGTCATTCCGACAGCGGCGTGCACAAAACTATTGTTTGTGATCTCGTAGTAATCAGTAATCATGTAATATATTAATGTATCAATAGTGTATTCATGTATGGAAATGTGTCTGTTTTTTTAAGTTGCCGTCACAACAATATACATAAAATTTACATTAATCATCAGAGATGTTTCTTTTCATCTATCGGACCATCGCATTCATATTTCTCCTAATCTCCGTTCGTTTCTTTCTGCCTACGTAGTGGTTTGTTGAAATTTTCTATTGTAAAAATTGTGAAAGCAAACAGTTAATGAACAAAATTTAGTCTAGTATTGCTTGTATTGTCAGGAAATTCCGCCTCTGGCCATACCCACGGAGGAGAATCCGAACAATGATCGTTGCTAATAAGATTCTATCCATTGTTACATACATCTATAGGTCAGCAATGCGTGTGCGGTCAGTCGGTCGGTCGGTCGGTCGGTCGACCGACCGGCCGGTTGACTGTCAACTGATTCACCCATTTACAACGTTCGTATTGGTTTGGATGCGCAATACGTGCAAACATTGTCCTGGGTAATTGTGTACTAAACAATTAAAAGCTTCGTGTGAAATAAAACAGGTGAACAGTACTATAAAGCGTTACATGGCTGCTCCCGACCTTGGTAGTACTCAAACCGTGCGAAAAATTGGAATTTTGGTAATTAATAAATCTGTTAATTAACAAATAAGACGAGGAAGACGTTGTTTATTGAAAAGAGAGAGCAACAAAAATATATTTCTTCTATTTAACAGCGCGAGTTTCATAGTACAAGTACAATGAGAATACTAGAAACATTCGCTTGGACGTAGCTATGCACGCGATGCTATCAAGAGCGGAGAATTCCTTGGATTGTCTGGAATTGCCCTACGCATCAGTCTCTCCCACGTCTACGAGACTCAGCCGTTCCATGAACTACACAAAGTTCACCTGCACGGTAGCAGAGACCCACTGAAAGATGTTAAAGACGTATGGTTGCCGCAGCGTCGTATGTCCGACAAGCCGCACGCATACACGCGACGACGTGATCATCGGGAAGGACAAGAACAACAAATAGGAGCACCACCGCGACCACGTCTACCGAGAGTCGTGGTCGTGGTCGTCAGAAGTGTGGTTCGAACGAGAAGAGATATCCTCCGGTTCATGAGGGACCTATATAACTGTACTGTGTGTCTGGGTCAGGGGGCGGGCCGCCACGTTTATAGTATACTCTCTATATCGGACAGGTGTACCCCATTCCGACTCCACGAGTTCTCGCGTGCACCATCGCGAGCCACAGCCAGGCTGCAACGTGTCTTTCCTAGCTGCCGTGACAGATATTGCGGCGCATCGCGGTAAACACGAAGAGATCAGTCGCACGGGGAGCTCCCGTGGACACTTAACGAGCCGTTTCTGAAGAGAGCCACGAGTCAGCCGCAACTGGCTTTACAAACGTCTCTCGGGTCCTACCTTCACGCGCCGTTTGTCGGTTTCGTCCTCGTTTTCGCCACTGAAATCGGTCGAGATCAATTGTCTGTGCTTTAGAGAGCCTCCGACCGCGCGGGCACGCGGAGATTTCTTGGCACATGGTGCTTCAATCAGTGCGGTGCTTTGCTCGAACCCTCCTTCTCTTTCTCGTCGCGCATCTTTGACACGGAATCTGGCAAAGAGAAGTCTGTTCATCTGCTTTTGACACCTGCTTTCCGATTGGATAAACGTAAGATATTTTTAAGCTGACAACACCGTAATGTCGATAATACGCCTGTAAGTAATTAGGCTTACAATAGAGTACCAGGCTTAGTGGCTTAATTAATATCATCCTTGTCGGAGGATGACGAACCCCGATACATATTGTTACAGAAAATACGAAACTATGTAATTGAATTTATTAATTATGTACGAGATTTGCTAGATTATACTACCATGAATTAGTAAATAATTATCGTGTGTTAAGATGTTATGATAATGACGAGAGGTGCATGAAGACCGTACGAGCGCGTTATAGTTAACCACGTGGTAACCGCTTTCATTCTATCGAACGTGCGCACATGTGCAGCAACAGTTGACAGCTAGTAGTCGGTCAAGATTTATCTCACCGAGTTTGTATAGAAAGATTATAGAAATCAGCGAAGCATTTATATAATCTTACACAATTAACTTTGATTATTTTTCGTTTTTCCTGTCAGTTAAAAAATTTGTATGTAGAGTATATATTACAAGAGAGTAATATATTACATCTGTTAGTAATTACACGTTTCCGTTTAAAATGAAACTCGTATAAATTATCAATGATTGCGCTTTGATCATTGGGTCGAAGCAGAAATTATATTCTTTGCGCGCGTCAATTTAAATGTACTTAGCACACATATGAGACGATTAATTAACGTTAAATTACGTTATTTCTCGACCACTTTCTATGTTATTACTCGACGATTATAATCGAAAATAACACATTAAAGTAATCGTATCGAAGCAATTAGATCGCAAATAACGATAGTCGTAAAATCAAATGCACGCAGATAAGGAGAAGCTGGATGATATTAACGATGAACGATATTCATTCATTGTACGCCGTCAATTGCGGCATCTATTACCGATCAATCGACGTAATAATACGACGCCTTTACTGAGCAAGTGTATCGAGTTGCCATCAAGTTGTCAGGTTGCTCTATTACGTTCAATTACCATATGTTCACTAGATCGTAAACGATAGAGCAGTGTATACACATTACGCACGTATGTATATACATCACATGATTATATTTCAAAAAAAAAAAAAAAGAAAAATGTGTCATCGGCGATACTAGCAAGTGATTATTATTTTCTCAACACTGTCACTGAAAAGTCTGATGTTGCTTTAAACCAACACGACGAAATTAATTAAAAGTGAAAGAGTGAGGTAACGAGAGGAAATGAATCATTAAGGTCTTATATTTTAATCATAAGCTTTGCATAGTTCCTTCATGTTTTAGTTCTACGTCTTTTAAAGCAGAACAGAAATGATTCACACAATCTTCGTTATTCCGACAGTGTGACGATCGAAAAGAAAGGGGAACAAGAATATATTTCAACTCTTTTACCATATGGGTCACTATTAGCTACGCATTTATTATGCGAATGTCTGTGTTCGGAATTACCACACCGCTGGAACCGTTATATGTATTTGGCACTATGCCACATCTTCGGCGTGCTCGATTCATGGTTAGCATGGAACAACGGACGTGTAAACAGCCGTCGGTGATTTTTATTCAAACATGGCCTCGTAGTGAAAGAAAGAACAGGTGTCACGGTCTGTCGTGGCACGAATCGTAAAACGAAATAATAACTAATGTATGCCAGTAATAAACAAGCGTCTGTGAGCTTGCCGCGTTAACGGAATTCGGCATAGATCACGACTTTTCAAAGGGAACGAAGAAAAATGTGTCGCAGGCCGAGAACGGTAGGAAGAAATAGCAGTAGTCGCGTCTTAATATTTAAAAAAATTATCATAAAAATTGTTCCAGAGAGTTCGAATCACGATCGAACATCATCGAAGTGGTACATTAATGACTATCCAAATCTCAAATTGTGACTCGCTCTACATTATCGTCTATTATCTGACTCGAAATAGGACGGAAATTTATTGACAAGGACGATTTTAGCATTGAATCTATGCAAGTGGTTGTCGGTGCATAAGTTGAAGGCTGATAGGTGAAAACCTACTTGCCTACATTCGTCAATAGTCTTCTGTAAATCATCTCGAATTCATTACACGATTATGACCGATTCATGATCACATCTTGTTTGAAAAAATCCGTGCACCTTTCGTTTACTTTTATGTTTGAAAAAAAAAAAAATATATATATATATATATATACTCGTCGTCGCATAAGTAGTCACGGGGAACATTTACGAGGTGGAACAAATTTCTCGAGTGCTCGCAACGTGTGTACATTATCTTTATTTAAGTACTTATTCGTCTTGTTCTTTTGATAGTACGGAAGAACACGGAACAAAGTAATAAACGCGATCAAGATCGTTTCGATAGTGAAACTAGCTTACGTTCGTTCGCTCTTATTTCTCAGTCGTGACCAAGAATCGACGATCGTTAACTACGAAAACGACGCGCGAAAATTGACTCGCGATATTTTCTCGAAACGTGACGGAACTTTGACGAATTTGGCTCCTGCCTATAGTTATCATGGCAGTCTGGTATCGTGGAGTACAACGAGGTAACGGAGCGAAAACCCGGACATTCGACAGGAATTTGGGACAGGTGGCCTAGTGGTCGCATGAGGCGAGTGTGTCTGATAATTGACGATTAAACACGAGCAAGGTGTTCAATGATGGACCGGTTCGTTCGTTTAATGCTCAGGTTTCTACTAACGATTCTTTGTAGCATTTCACTTGACCATCCATCGAGATTATTACAAATAACTAGGACTTCGTACGATTGTAGAAAGTTATCAATCGTGAATCGCAAATAACTTCGGTAACTCGAATGATTTCATTCATTCATTCATTTATTCATTCATTCATTCATTCATTGTAAAACTACGTGTGTTCAATAGACCCGATATGAAATATTTTAGATACGTGTAAGTATTTTTGAAATATTACAGTTTGTAGATACTTTTATTCTGTGAATTATATTTAGTGAATTTATAGTGAATATTTAGTGAATTTATAGTGAATATTTAGTGAATCTAGGCGTGAATGTTATCCACGAGAGATTGTATTTAAACAAGAATAATTATTTTTCCAGCGGTACGGTTAGAATACCTCACCGTGGACGCTAACACGGTATGCGGTGGCGAATCTTCATTTTAGCCTGTCTCCTACTAAAGGGGGTAAGTAAACACGATATTTCCTCTTCTTTCTTCATTAAAATAATTATTATTCAAATATCAAACACGAAACGAAATTTACTTGAAGATGTGCACACATACATGTCTATGTTTGCCTTCAAGTTACGTTAAAAATTTCAATATAAAAAATATTTGACAATTTTTCAAATCTACCAAATTTAGGAAGCTTTCTTGCGTGAAGTGATTCAAATTTCAGTCATTGACTAAGGACAAGATTCACCTCAGTTAAGTGGAACTTTGTGTTTTAGATTCTGAAATATCGAGTTTAACGTGTGAGAATCCTATATTTTCCTTAGCTCTCTTTTAGAGGTTCGAAGGGGATCATTGAAGTAAAATCACCGCGATCCTCTTTCTTTACCACTTACCTCTCATCACAAAGATGAGATTTGTTCATGTTGTTTTTATATATACCTCGTTCACTCAATTTTATGAAACAAATACACAGAACACAGCGTGAGATTTAGCATGTAATTAGCGTGACTTATATTTCTATATTAACATTCAAGTAAACTGCAAGTAAAATCTTAACGACAAGTTATAAAATTTATACATTTCAAATGACTGATTGAAAGTTATACGGTTCGTTTGATCTTCAGAAATCACCGTTCCAATTGAGAGTAATGTCGTGTAGAATTCTGTGCTTCGACGTTCCCTTTTCTCGTACCTTAATCGTTCGCTTCGTAGGAAAATGTTCTCTTCTCTTTTCAAAACCGTTTCTATAATACGTCGAATCGATGACGACGCGCGTGACACGAAAATGGTAAGGGGGTCAGTCAGGTGACTCCCGAAACGTGAGACACCTGAAAAAAGCATTGTATGTCAGGTCTATCCTGTCCTTAGTCAATGATTATAACCCAGATATCGCGGTAGGTACATAGCCTGTGATGCCGTTACCCAGTGCTCTGACCCAGAGCTAAGGGCGACTCGAGACCCGGTCGATGTCTTGAAATGGTGCGCGGCGTTCCGATCCGGCTCATCCACGTCTACTACGAAGTAACGTTTTATCGTCGGACCTTCACCACGAATCGGTCTTACAAGATTGCGCGCAAAAATCACACACGAAACGACCGGTTCCGTGATCTTACCTTCCCATCCTGCATTCTTGGGGACCGACACGATTTCAATTCGTCGCTTACTTTTTTCCCTCCTCCTTCCGTCGTTGCTCGGACAACGTTCGTTCCTCCAAACCGCAGCGTTTTAAATATTTTCGCGTCACCGATCGAAATTAACGACCCGGCGGCACGTGTTATTATTTCGTTGCGAAAAATATAGACGGAAAAGTTTCAAGGAAACAAGAATTTAACCTCAGACTATATTGCAACAAATCGAGATTTATTATTACGCATAAGTTACGAAATCCGAGTGCAGCTTGTGTTAATATTACAGATAATATTGCGACCAACTTGAGATTAGCGTAATGTAACAAGTGTTACGCAATAATGTTTTTATGGACACATTCTTTAAACTGTTAAATTGTTGCAACAACTTTCCGTTTCGACACTCAAAAGTTGATTATTCCTTTGTTGATAGATAGAGAAGAATAAAACGCAACCACGTCTCCCTCTCGAGCTTTCATTTGCATTCCTTCGATAATACTTTGTAGCTAATGTCAGAGAATCATGTTAGACAGCACACGCTGGAGCGTGATAGTTCTTGCACAAGCTCAGTCGAGTGAATGAAACGGAGTTAGAATGAATGAAATACCTCTTCGTAAGACTGTAAGAGAAATCGTCGAAGACGGGAGATTAACTTCCGTGACTACTGTAGTTTTTTTGTCAAATAATCTTGTCGCTGTCTATCAATCCTAAAATTAATTAATTATTATTACGAGCAAAAACGTAGGCTATGCTATTGCTTATTGTTATTACGGCCTGTAATGAAATAGCTTGGTAACGTTAGAATAATTAATTATTGCAACGTTAGAATAAAATAATTATTGTATTTAATATTTCAATATTGTATTTAATTTGTGTTTTTATATACGAACGTTTGAAAATTGTCTGCTAACAACACGTGTATTAATATAGTCGTATCTGATCGTACATTTTGTGAAAAGTCATTCAAATCTGTAGCGAATCTGTAGCGAAATTGAAAATTTATCATGAACTGACGATCATTGAAACAGGCCGCAGGTGAAAATGAGCAAAGCACAAACGCAAGTCGTCCGTATTTCGCTGGAAGGACGGTCATCGTTGAAAAATCCATCCACCGTGGATTCATTCTCGAGTGACCCAGTAAGCTTTCGTCGAATTATGGGACACGCTGGCTGAATAGTCACGACGAGATGTCGGAATCGGTGGAGGGCAGAAGCGGAAAACTGAACGTGTATCCGAAGCGCTTCAGCTGGCCGATTGACCTGCGGTTAAAGACACGGGTGGTCCGTTATGCCCCAGGGTCACGCGTGAGGCAATCAGCCACTACGCTGGTGTACAGGCCCCGATGCTCCTATTTCATCGTTTCGTTGCCCCTCCTCGACCCTCCGAACCCGTCATTCGTCGAACAGTCGGAACGGGTTTGTTGATCGGCGGCTGTTGTCTCCCGTATTGGCCATCGCAGGAACGCGCACGACCAGAGACCGGCTCTTTGAGCGGATCTTCGATTTGCGACCAAGGGAGAGTCGAGAGAATGAAAAATGCACGTGTGCCTCGATCGCCTACCTTTCATTTCGTTTACTCTCGCCGTTTTGATTTTTAAAATTTTAACAACGCCCAAAATTATATCGTTCACATATTAGAATCGGGTTGCAGCAGCGTTACTTCGATCGTCGTCGTCGTCGTCGTTCGGATTAAAAGGAGAGTAAATTCGCGCGTCGTCGAACGATAATTTAGGTGAACGCGTACGTACAAAGGCGGGCCGTTGTTAAGGAACTCGGGCGCGCGTCTGTAAATTATGTAGCCCAACAGCCATCAATCTGCTTTCGCGCTTTCTCGTCGTTTGTCCCTTTCCTCTGAACGGCCGTTCTACAAAGTGCTTCGCCACTACCTACTTTGCATAGAAACACGTTTTACGACCGATGCGTCTCGTTGGTCTGTTCACAGCTGGCACGAACGGAGGATGTGGAGGTAGTGGAGGCAATCCCCGGAGAGGACAACCGAAACGATAACTCAGCCTTGAATCGTCAGGACAACGACATAAACACGTCGGACCAATTGGCGTTAGAATCGCTAGGTGAGAAGGATGCCGGCGGTAATCATTATAAACCGGGTGGTCTCCGAGGGCATCCCCTCCCACTTCCGCCAAGTCGCGGCGGGCTGGGACTGCCGCATCCAAGACCACACCATAACGTCGCGTATCACGGGCCACCGCCGCCCTTGCCGCCGTCCAAGGCCTCGTCGTCGGAGGCGATCGACAAGATCTACACGACGGGTGGTGGCATCAGTACAGCGGTAGGTGCAGAACCCTGGCCAGCACCCACGCCAGACATGCCGAAGATCATTTCCTTAGACGTGAAGTGCGAGAAAAGTCTAATGAAAGTTTATCTCGGCTTCGACAAGCCGTTCTACGGTATAGTTTTCAGCAAAGGGCATTACAGCAACGTTAACTGTGTGCACTTACCAGCAGGCCTAGGGCGCACCTCGGTTAACTTCGAGATTAGTATTCACGCGTGCGGCACAGCTGGGAATACAGAGAACGGTTTGTACGGGTACGGCGCGGAGTCCGGGTCGGGAACGTACTTCGAGAACATTATCGTCGTGCAGTATGACCCGCAAGTTCAGGAAGTTTGGGATCAGGCGCGAAAGTTGCGGTGCACTTGGCACGATTTGTACGAGAAGTCCGTCACGTTCCGTCCGTTTCCCGTCGACATGCTGGACGTGGTGCGCGCCGACTTCGCCGGCGACAACGTCGGCTGCTGGATGCAGATACAGGTCGGCAAGGGACCATGGGCGTCCGAGGTCTCCGGATTGGTGAAGATCGGCCAAACGATGACGATGGTGCTCGCGATAAAGGACGACGATTCCAAGTTCGACATGCTCGTGAGAAATTGCATGGCCCACGATGGCAAACGGGCTCCGATTCAACTGGTCGATCAGAGGGGTTGCATCACCAGGCCGAAGCTCATGTCGCGGTTCACCAAGATCAAGAACTTCGGCGCGTCCGCCTCGGTCCTCTCCTACGCCCATTTCCAGGCGTTCAAGTTCCCCGACTCGATGGAGGTGCACTTCCAGTGCACCATACAGATATGTCGGTACCAATGTCCCGAGCAATGCTCCGAGTCTCCGTTGTTGCTGGAGTCGCAGGGTCTCTTGGAGAATCATCATCCTCCGTCGAGCGGACATCCCGATTCCGGCTACGGTCTTCCGCCGCCTATTCCGCTTCCCTTGGAAGCGTATTTGCAGGCGGCCGCGGGACGTCCTCGCGACGAGAGACGACGAAAATCGCGAGAGATAATGCCGACACCTCAGAAGGCGGTCGGTGTCAATCGCATAATACGCGTTGTTTCCACCGGCGACCTGACATTCTCCATTGACGAGTCGAACAACGGGGAACCGAGTGGATCGACGATGATCTTCCCCGTACGTAACGAGAACACGAGCGCCAGCGCAGCTATGATCTGCATGACTACACCAGGTTTCGTCGTTACCCTCATAGTGCTCCTCGCCGTGTTGCTATTCTCGTGTATACTTTCCACCTACCTCTGTCTACGCCTAAGACCGTTCTCAGGAAAAGCTAGGAAAGCCGCGGCGTATTGCAACGAGGAACAAAGTACGCCTAAAAAGTCGACCAGGACGTGCTTTTATTCATAGATGGAAAAAAAAAAAAAAAAAATGAAAAAAAGAAAAGAAAAAGAAATCGGTCGTAACATCTTTCGAAAGATCTGCACGTCGCGCTGTCGATCGGCTCTACCTTTGCGCAGAGAACCTTCGTATCGAGCGGGTTCCTTCCCACAGACTAGTTTCACTATTTTCATAGCGTTGAATTATTCGATCGAACCACGATGAGTTACGAAACTAGACGCGCACTGTTTTATTTATTTTTTTTTTTTTTGTTTTTAAGTTATTTCGACGATGCGGGATTGCTCAAGAAACCAGCTGCCGAATCTTTTGCGAACTGCAAAAGCGTTCGTTCTGGTGATTTACTCGTTAGTTGTTGTTTCATATTTATTTTCTGACCGATTTACGTTTAATCCTGTCGTTGGATGTCGCAGAAACCGGTACTCTTGGTCGCGCCGTTGCAGGTATCCTAGAGGCTACAGAATGTTGCAAGCACAATTCCGTCGTACGTCGACGCGTATCGGACAGAGTATCGTATTGTTAAATGAAATTAAAATATAAACAGATGCTCTTCGCCACGTGTACACCATTATTCGATCGACCAGTTATGGATTTGTGCTTCGTCGTGATGAAACTTACGCTCAAGCCGTTGCTGGCGACTATGTATGTATAGACACTCTGAAAATTTAGTCAAAGATAATCAAATGTTCTGCCCTTGCGACTTCTTCGATTACGAATCGTCTCGGGACCATGGTACTTGGGTATTTTTTCATTTTCTTCTTCCAATTAACCGTTACCCGTCACATACTGATAATGTGTAACTCGATACAATTAAGGCTGAAACACGACAAGAAAGAGAAACTATTGTTGATAATATTATTTCGTTTTAATATCATTTCTATCACGAAGCTAATCTCTCGATTTTAAGAATTTTTATGTTATAAGTTAACAATAAACAAGATACGTTCCGCTTCAGTGAAGTGGACACTTTTTGTGCGTTAGTTTATGTATGCACGCGCTGCCATGTAACGAAGTTCTTTCTATTTAATTAGAACATCTTTATCTGAAACATCGTATTATGCGATTATGCGTATTATGCGGTAGAACGTCGATTATCTTTTGGTAAACGATTCGAAGCTTCTCGTACAATTAAGAATAAAGTGACCGTCAGCGATACACAGCAGCAGCAACGCAATTTTTATTGCGCAAAAGACCTTAATTGCAGAGTATAAGAAACGAACGAAGTATAGCTAAGTTTCTAAATATTCTAAATACTTGGAGAGCATTTACTTCTTCCTGAACTTTCATCCATTTTGACATTCGACGAATTTTAAATTTCCCCTCCTTCGTTTGAAAAAAAAGGAAAAAAATAGAAACGTTCTAATTTATCAAGATTGATATTTTTGATTTAGATTTCATTGTTATCTAGAAATGTAACGCAACCGTGTGTTTTAAAGCATAAATGGTCTCGATACGCAACACCTGAATTTTGATAATCGACGTTTCACCGTATATACAAATTGAAATCGACATTATGTAAAATCATGGACAATAAATGACAAATTGGCATTACTGCGTAATATGTTTTCTAATTAAACGATGTTCGACGAATGAAACGATTTTGGTAATTACACGAATGAGGGAAATTGCAACAAAGCGTTGATATGTCAAATGTATAAAGGAAATAGTCAGTAGCTTGTAATAGCACGCGAAACATTATAATATAATATTTAATATTAATGCGTACGAGCTTCATAAATTATTCCTCATCGATGGAACAATGTATTTCTTACAAGAATATTTTAGTATATTTTAATTTCTGTGTACGAGTAAATGTATAATTATATTTACCATCGTTTCTTTTCACGCGAATATTCTCATCTGACTAGCAAATACATTGTCTGTGCTCCATTGTCCGTGTGTGTGTGTGTGTGTGTAACGTCTTAAATTATCTTCACTTCGGAAGATAGACGAAAAGATATAAAACACGGGAAGAGAGTAATCGCTGGAATTCTGTGGAAATAGATCAAGGTCTTGTAAATACATTTATTGGCATTATCATTGATTCATGTTAAATAAAAACACAACCTATCGATTAACAATCGACTCAATTCTTCGTCCCTTTCGCTCGAAGTGTTGTGGCAATTGTCCATTATCGAGCATAGTTGCGCTTACGATTGATGGTTGCTATATTTATTTCCTTTAACGATTTTTTTTTTATTCTCCAAAAAAAAGAATACGAGAATATTCTTTCGTTTTTTTTTTTTTTTTTTTTTTTTACTTACTTATTCCAAGTCCAAACGTTTCTTCTTTTTTTTTGTTTCTACATGTGTATACATATACTTATAATTCGTAAAATAATCTAGCACATACCATTACTCTGGTAATTTGCAAAAAGAAAGAAGAAGAAGAAAAAAAAAAGAAGAAACGTTTGGACTTGGAATAAGTAAGTAAAACGTAACTATCCAAACACCGCATCGTTAATTAATCTGTTCCTAGAGGAAGAAAAAGAAGACAAGTATTTTCGTTTCTTGTTGCAAAGGCAGAAATGGAAAAGATAGTAAACGTAAAAGGACGATAAAGGGATCGCGAGAGAAATCTCGCCTTTACGCCCCACGTATAACGAACTCTCGCTTTCTACTTGCACGAGTGCTTCCAAAGTGAAAAAGCTCGAAAAGTTTTACTAGATAAAACTTCCCAGATATATCATTTGTATGTATAATTACGTATACGTGGTATCTTAAGCTCAGCGACAGGATCCCGTTCGCGGTGTGAAACGTCTTCCCGGACACTTTAAATTGCGTGCTGTTGCGTTTCAAAGATTTTTAAATAATCTCGCCTACTACGTAGTCCCCTATTTAAAAAACCTGAGAAGGCAATCGATTTTTCATGAGATTTTCAACCTTCAGTTGACACTAACGTGAAGAAGAATCGAAAATTAAAGGAGAATGATATATGTATATATGTATAAAAACGTAACATTTCTCTGTTCGAACGACGTAAAATTAAATCGATTCTTTTAATACGTGTTACATATGCTCTGTCAAAGATGTCAACGAAAGGTTAAACGTATCGAGGCATCCGTCAAACTATTATCGAATTCTCATATTACTCTAACGTAACGATATAAATATTTAAAAAAAAAAAAAGAAAAAAAAACGAAACGAGAATTTGTGCTTAGTAGTAGCATCTTTCGATTTGCCTGAAAATATTCACGGTATTTCGTTCGTATTTTCAGTTTTATTAGCTGTTATTCTCAGCCTCTTCAGGGCTAACTCTAGAGGTGCTGTCGTTTTCTAGATTTTTTTTCAAGAACTGCGAATCGAGTACACTTGTATGTGATTCGTTTGATTAATTTGCAATTAATTTTACATTGGGCCGCGAAACTCTGTTGAAAACTCTGATAAAAAGGTACTTTCAAAGGTGAAAAAAAGAAAGAGAAGGATTACGAAGAGGAAGAATATACGTCTAACTAGTAGATTTCCCGATTTGCGAAACACGAATACAAGACACCTTAATTCTACGTTTTATACAAATGTAGCTCAAGTGTTATTTTATGTGAAGATGCAGGTAAAATGCAATCTCTCTCTGAAAAAAATAAAGTAACTTTACGTAGCGTGTGTCGTTAACCGTAGTGTATGCATGTAACCGTGAAAAATATTTTCGTTTCATTATGTACAATATGATAATTATTATTTGTCAATAATACATATCTAATCAATCTCTATGAGGAATACTCTAAATAAGAATCTAAAGCCTATATATAGTTTACAAAGTTGTATATACCCAATAACAAGTCCTACTTTATTCGTATTTGTAATTTTCATTACATCGAACGTTGTTCGATCTCTCTACTCGTATCGTGATTAGGCAAATATCGTTATCAGCACCTCTAGTGAATTCGTCATTAAATAGATAACAGACGCGCAAATGCCGCAGAAGGGCATGTTACAGAAAAATAATAATCATTTAAATCGCAATAGTTCGTATTCTACAGAAAACAGTAATACGCACTTTTCTTTTTTTTTTATTTACGAATTACCTAAGGAAAAACATATCGAAAGCAACGTTGCCTTTCTTTCCTTATTTTTCACTTGATTAACGCTGTAACAAGCCGATGACGCGACTGCGGCTTAACAATCGATGATACGACCGTGGCATCGTGTGATTTTCAACAGTTACAAATTTCTAACAAAATTCGGTGAAAATGAAATCGATATTGTTACAACGTTAATGAAACGTCCAAAGAAAGGAAACAAAAAATAATGTCATTCGCAATACGAAATCTTTACAGTATTCACAGCGAGAGCTGTCGCATTGTCTCCTATTGAAGGGAAATGCTTCTTGCGAATTTGATTAATTATCCTGCTTGATTATATTCTTTACTTACCCAATACCAATAATCGCCACGCTCGACGATAATCCTTCGATACTTTCGTTTGCAACAAAAAAAAAAAAAAAAAAAAAAGAAAAAAAA